GCTGATGAACACAGCTATTAAACAGTTTTTTACAAGTTTCAATCCAGTCAGACAAAGGGCTTTCTTGCCATTATGCATGCAATAACATTTCAAACTGCTGTCACTTTGTGCAGGAGTATCCAGTCTATTGCGCATTGTAGCTGTGTCTCAGAATCAAACATACATGTAACATTTGAGAATTTGATCAATGATTTTCATTGAATTGGTGTCAAATGATTGCAAAACATTGGCAGAGCTACTCACGAAGGCTGGAGGAAACAAGAGCATTCACTGCGAGGACTTCGGAGAAAATACAACAGAGGTAAATTGCAACCCCCACACACAAGTGTGTAAACGCCTTCAATCGTGGACTCCCTATTGTTCCCATTTTGTTCATACTCAAACTTTTTTGGAAGACCTTCCATATGTTTTGTACACGTTTTCTAACCGTGGACTCTTCGACAACCGTGGACCATATTGTTCCCTATTGTTATAGGTCCACGATTTAAATGTGTATACAAACTCACTTGCTCATCATTACACCTGTTCCAGTGAATAGACCCTGAATTATAGTCAGGTGCACCTGTAGTAGGACTAATAAATGAAAGTTGGTGAAGTGAAAACCTACCCCTATGGGTTTTTCATAAGGAACAATGCGCATCAAGATGGCATAGTTGGTGGTGTGGTTGCAGTGACAAGTGATGTAATCCCCGTTGGAGGCTTCCATAGATGATTGGCCATCCTCCCAGATGGTCTTGCAACCTTTGGTTGACCAGCCTCCTGCAACACGACCCCTGGAGAGTGGGAAAGAAACAAACGCAGCAAAAAACCTTCAAAATAAATTATACTGCAAAATATGTATCTTTACCAGGAAGGTTAAATGCAAAATGTTGGCATCCCAAATTAGTGGCTATAGGTCAATTTATATGAACCCGAATGTAAAGTTTGATGTCACAAGGCTTTTGTCGCAAAATTTGCTGAAGTTGCAAAAAGTTTTGCCATGTCAAAATCTATGCATGTAAATACTTGTTTACTCGTCACAAACTCCTTTGTTTTCACATGAAGCATGAACCAGCCTTTAATCATGGAAGACAAGAGGGGGAACTCCCCCCCCCCCCACTAAGCAAATTTTTCTCCCAAGAATTGAAAGTACCTAGACTTTACAAAAGGTACTTGCCCTTTCCTTGGGGAAACGAAAGCAAAAAAGGGAAGCCTCAATTGTTTTTTTTGGGGGGGGAGGGGTGTGCACCCCCTGAGCTAAGCCTTCCCCTTTTGCCGACGCTGCTGCAGCAAATAGAGTGAGTCTCAATGCTGCAGTAAAACTATGGCTGTTTACATAACTGCTTGAGAAGCTTGATGGTAGCATCTGCACTGATCTATTAGTCATGTTGAAGCTCATGTGTGCATGTTCCGTCTGGCACAAACAGTAGAGAAAGCCTTGGGTGCTTGCTATCCCCAAGTATTCTAAAAACTTGCCGTTTTATGTGACACATCATTTACACAGATTAGACCTTGTAAACCAAGCATGAAATAGTTTTATTTCTATAGCCAGTCTTGGAAATGGCCTCAGGACACTAAAAACATTGCACTTTTGATTCCATACCAAAATAAATCCAGGAAATAGCTTAGCCAGTGTTGTGGTCGAAACCATTCACAAGACCAGTCACAAGTAACAGGGTGAATAATGACAAAGGAATGCTGTTGTTGCAGGTCATTTGAATAACTTGTGGCTTAAATTCAGACTGGCGGTCTTGTGTTGGTCTTGTGCTGGTCTTGTGTGGTCTTGTGCTGGTCTTGTGCTGGTCTTGTGTGGTCTTGTGAAGGTTTCAAGTGGTCTCGACAACAACACTGAGCTTAGACCACACATCCACTGCAGCTAATTCACATTTCTACAAAGTGCATATCAATAAAATGCAGGCGTGATACTTACCTCAAGTAAGAATCCCAAAAAGCACAGACAGGGATCCTTGGATGTGTAGAATTACTCGCCTAAGAGAAGAAAAACCGAAGAGGTGTATCAAAATCATGTTAGTGGTGAGCCTGCCGTAACAGCATTAGATGATTTCAGGATTTTCTTAAATCAATTTTATTCTGTCAAGGAATCACAATTCCAATCTAAATTCTCTCCCATTTTCACCAACAAAAAATGTAGCGTCATGCACATTGATTCATCACTCACTAGAATTCCTCCAGACAATCAATTTATGCAGATCGCTAGTGATTGATTCAAAGTTTCAAGAATCACTTTTAGGTGCTTTCTGAAATCCAATCTCCGGGGAACAAAATCAATCAATACAGGGAACAGAATCCTCAAAAAACACAGTAAAATCACACATTTCAATCCTGAGGGTGAAACTGAATTTGTATCAATTATGGTTTAGAATCACCTGATATACACACAAACTTAAGCTAAAATAATTGCAGGATCATCTCAAGGGGCTGCTTATTGTCAAGCAGATACGGAAGCCTTGACTGTGCATAACTTAAGACGAGTCAAAAGGGAACTGCACGCTTCTGTCTACCAGTGCTAGAGTGTTGCAGTTGAATTGTCACAAAGTCGCTTCACAAGTTTTTACACAAGTCCAACCATACATGTAACTTACATAGTGAATAAAAAGATAAATGCACGCTTTTGTCAGAGTTAATTTTGAATAGCTTCCGACTTGGCTCAAGATCGGATGAGTTTTTTGTGGACTTTTCGAGATTTATCTTCAGACTCTGGTAGTCTCTATCGATGCACTGCCAAATGAGGGTCCAATTCAGAATGCAGACTTTATTGAGAACCTTCTGCAACTCTGGGATTCTTGTCTGAATGCTCTTGACACCCACTTGAATATTGCTGAGCCTTCTCCTGAAGGTTGTCGGCACAGATATCTGCCCATCGGGGCCAAAGACCGTGGCAGTTATGACATCAGCCACAATAAATTTGTCTGCTCCTTTCTGATTGTAGTTAATGAGACCTGTGAGATTGGTGTAGGCTGCTCCAAGCACTGAGATCCTTTCAGTACCTGGTTGGAAATAATACATACACAATCGACGTTTGTGGGCACAATGGGGAGAATAATTTCATGAGGTACATGTATGAGGTGGAATAAGTGTTGTTTTTTTCCATGAGGTGAAGCTAGGTGAAAAAAAGTATTCTGTCCATCACTAACTGAAGTTTTTCCACTGCATATAAAACATGGAAGAATTTAAAACATTCTTCTTTATACAATGCCTGGATAAATCCTCGTCATTGACTGGTGACTTAAATACTCGACACGTTAGCCTCTCAGTCCACTATTACATTGCGACAAGATATTTTCAATGCAGTGGCACACCAATTAATGCTTCAGCAAACTTTCCTATAAGTCCTGGAAATATCCAGTAAATTTGACTGACTATTTGAATTGTGTTTTTGTATTTAGCAGTGTCGGCATCATATGAATTCAGACATTTCTTCATCTCAGAAATAGGAAACAGTGCTTCCCATTTACCATTAGCTGTTGCCAGTTTGCGAGATGAGCTGCAATACAATGTAATTAATCAGGCAGCCATCACTGCATGCATTCATCATTTGACAAAAGGATCTCCTGCATGGGGCTAATGTACTGTTGTGGGGGTGCATTGGGATGAACAACTCATGTCATGTGATCAAACATTGCACCAATCAGACGATGGGGATTTATTCAGGTGTCATGTAAAAGCGAATATGGAATACTGAGCACAAAATACTTCTGGCTGCTCCAAGCCTGAACAAGAGACGTTGTCATTTCACATAGCAATAACAGTCCTCCATCTGGTGGGACTCACTGCATGACGCATGACATGGAATTGACAAAGAGAAATAATTGATGAACTTTGAGTGGACTTTTGACACAAATACATTCATATTGCAGCAAGACCCTACTGAAGCTAGTAAAACTGTTGCAAGAGATTGGCTAATTGTGATGTAGAATGTATGGAGTACTGTGCATGCTCCCTAAAGCAATATTGTTTGTTTGTTGCTGCTCACCCTTAAATCCCAAGTTGGCAAGGTCCATTCCTTGGATGCTTATCATGTCCTCCTCAGTGTGGAACGGCTGGTAAGTCCAATTATTCAAGATGAAGGTACCAAGTGAGTTGGATTCCAGAGAACAGCCTGAAGTCAAAGAAGAAATGTGAAAGTAATTGGCATCAGACTGCTATCTGTGTCCACATTTGAGTGATTTAAACATTCATCGTTGTGGAATTGCCAACGATGATGTGAAACCTTAGGTGAAAAAAAAACAGTCAAATGGCAAACTTTGGTTGATTTTCTCAACTGGTTCACACCAGAGGGCATGCAAATGTAATCAGATTTTGTAATGGTTTTAAGGAAAGCATATTAATGGCAAGTGCATCACATCGGCAGTTGACAGAATAAACCAACAAATTATCCATCAATGTTGAACAAATGCGAGCACACACACATCCTTGGGTGGGACGATGTGATATACTTTAACCTTTATCGTGGCAAATACTATTCTGAAAGGTTGTTTTTGCTTCATAAGAAAAAGAAAAATTCAGGTTACCATTGTGTTGACAATGGACAGTGTATGGTTGAAAAAGGGTTCCTATTTATTTAAAAATAATCTTTAAAAACCTTTATCTGCTAAAAAAATGTAACTGCTTCTGGATCTCTTCTCTACAGGTTTCTTCAGGCTTACGCGCGCTACAAGTACAGTGCCCATTTTTAAGGAATCTTTAGTGTCATTATCAGAAATAATTAGTGTGGTATTGTGTGGTGTGAAAGTACATACCACAGAGCAAGTATAGACTCACCTGACAAATTCCTAAAATTGCTATGTGGCTAACGGAGATGGTGATTTGGTATTGGTTCGTTATAGTTGCATGGTTTTGATAGTGTGTGCATATGAGGGTGTGTCCAATTATTAAATGTAGTTGAAGTTCTTGCACGGCCATCTTGCATTTGTTTGGTTCTTTTGGTTGCTATCACATTCTTCTACGTTACAACAATTAGTGATCATAATCCACGGAACAAAAGAGGGTGTGTTTTTTGGTACCCACCACACAGGCGCGCATTTATAATGGAAATCAATGGTGCATTTGATGCGGAGCACGCTGAGTACGTGTAACGAATTTAATCCTTAACGTGTGGTCTCTGCATACATGCGGAACGCATGCAAGAACCCACTTGGAAAACTTACTACCATCCGTCTATCTTTTGCCGCTTGGGGTTGCACTTCAACTCGGGGTGGATAATAATTTCAAAAGTGGATCTGTTGACTTGTGACTCATTTTGTAAGGTTGAGCGACACATCTAGGCATTAAGTACCAGTGGTAAAAAATCCACCACATTCTCAGACAGCTTGAGACATGATAGGACAAAACTCACTGATTACTGGTGAGTGTGCCTGGATTTGTTTCCCCAGGGTGAGGCGAGGTCCCAGAGCTTGAGCTATGTCATCCAGTCTGTCCATCAGGCTAAGTGGTCCATTATTGCTCAGCTGCAATTCATTCAGACAGAGAATCTGCTCCAGGCTCACCAATTCTTTTGTGGCAATGTTCAACTCACAGCAAAGATGAGACATGCAAGTTTTGCCTGATGCATGATGAACCAGCCATTCCCGTTTCACTGGAGTACAGCACTAAGGGCTGCATTTTGGCAGTCCAATAATTATTTCAACGGTTGATTACAGACTTGTATTTGATAATTTTCATTGAGCAGAACTCTGTTACACCAAATAAAGCAATATTACTTTCTCATCCCTGCCCTCACCCTAGGTTGAAGCTGTCCGGATATTTTCCCTTCGAAAATCCAAAAATTGTGTCCTAGAAAGACTGAGTGAAATATGTCCTCGATACATTTGAAACAAACAGCAGTATCAACAAAATGGTAAAATGGAGAAGATGGTGTGAACCTCTGAAAAATGAACCATCCACCATCTTGGGAAGTCAGCCATTTTGGAAAGTTGGCCATCTTGAAAAGAGGGGGCCTCCTCCCTTGCCTTCCAAAAAAGCCCAGATGAGAAAATATTGTTTTAGCTTTACTTGGCCTTATTGATTTTCTGTGTTAAAATGGGTCCTGAATGTGACAACATGTAAAACTGGTTGTCACAGAGCAAATTGAAACTTGTTTTATCTCTTACTCTAACAGCACAAACACGTTCCCAATAATTTCCCACTTAAACTAGCAAGCATTATTCAATATTTGTGTCATTCCATGGGCAGAAAGCCTTTACTTATTCATAGGCTGATTAGAGTGGCTATGACATTCAAGATCAAAAGGTTACAAAAGTTTTTCCCACCTCTTTCACATCGTTCCAACTTGCATTACCATTCCAAAGCAGTAGCTCTGTAGCAATGTCTACTGCCACCTACAAACCAAAAGCTTGTTTAAATCAACCACCAACAAGATCAGAGTCCTTAACGAAGATGAAATAAGAAATATTCTCACAGTCGGAGGTTGTTCCATTTATTGCACTCTCGTCTGGGCAAAGGGGCATGCCTTCACTTTGTACAGGGATTTGTGTGCTTTCCTCATTTTTGGCTGCACTATGATAAAAATAACTGAAGACACTTCCGTACAGCAAGGGGATTATTCATAGCACATGAACAATGAAATTTCAGTCACATTTGATGTAAAGGTTAAGATTTCAGTCAATAATTCAGATTTTCCTCACAGACCGCAAAACTATTTTTCCCCTTTAAGTTTTGAGTGTGAAGTATGGAATAGCCACCAATTGACGAATCAGAGAGAAATATCAAGACTCAGTGATGTCATCCCGGCCGCAAAAATTATCTGCAGAATTTTCTTAACCTGCCTGCAGAAGCATAAAAAAGAAATCTGGAAGCAGGGAGTTAATGGAACACACCACTGCTTACTTGTAAGGTATCATCACCATGCTTGTCCAGGTCCTTGACTAGTCCTTCCAAACAACAAAACTGTTCTGTCATTTCCTCTAAGGATGTGCGAACGCCGTCAGAGATGCTCAGGGAACCCGGGTTTGCCGTACTGGTGTACATATTGTGCTCTTCCAAGAACAGGTGGCAAACAAGATCGTCACAAACACTCCGCTGAACCTGCTGGATGCATTTGCCACTCACCTGAGGGCAAAGCAATGTACAGTCAGCACAGGAGTGCAATACAATACATGTACCAGTACATAGGATCCTGAATGTCAGGGAAGGGGCACTTTAGAAACCACATTTTATAAGGGGCTATGTGTACTGGCAGTTCCACAGGGCAGCGGCAGCGGAACAATTTTCAAAGTGTGGGGGGGCCAGTTGTTAGACCATCAGGCATCAGCCATTAATAGGCAGTAGGCCGTGCAAAAAGTGGGGGGGGGACCATGCCCCCCAGTTGAAAAAGTTGGGGGGGCTGCTGTCCCCCTGGCACCCCCCCCCTTCCACTGCCAGTGCCCCAGGGAGGGGAGTAGAGAAATTGGGCTAAAGTCTCACCCCAAAGGGGCCAATTTTTTTGTTTTTCTTAGAACATAGTGAGAAAAGGGCAATTTCAGAAAGGGGGGAAGCCATCGAACCCCTCTCCCACAATGTCCCCTCTCCTTTCACTAGTGCACAGAGGACAGTCTCATCGGTGCGTGCAGAATGTGTTCATACATGTATATAAGCACAAGTGCACTGTTGGGTGGGGGTGTGAGTGTGGAAGCCTCATTTGAAATAAAAATGAAAATCGTACT